TACCGCCCTCCTCAATCGCTGCGTGCCCAGGTCCAGAGTGTGTCCATGGGTCCCTGTACGGCCCTCCCATTGTGCTGCTGTCCTCCATCGCCACAGCTCCTGCCCATGTTGCCCACTTTCAGGTCTCACCTCAACACTGCTTGGTCGGTTTCCATTTTGTCCAATGAGGGTGCTGTTTGGCCTACCATTGCTGTCTGCCAGGGCCCGTAATCTGCCACGGGCCCCCGTACCGACTCCTCATGCTGCTGCCAGGCCCGTAATCTGTCATGGGCCCCTGTACCGCCTCCTCATGCTGCTGCCAGGTCCAGAGTGTGTCATGGGTCCCTGTACGGCCTCCCATTGCTGCTGTCTCCATCGCCACACTCTGCCATGTGCCACTTTCAGGTCTTCTCACACTGCTGGTGGGTTCCATTTTGTCATAGGGTGCTGTATGGCCTCCCATTGCTGCTGCCAGGCCCGTAATCTGCCACGGGCCCCCGTACCGACTCCTCATGCTGCTGCCAGGCCCGTAATCTGTCATGGGCCCCTGTACCCGCCTCCTCATGCTGCTGCTAGGTCCAGAGTGTGTCATGGGTCCCTGTACGGCCTCCCATTGCTGCTGTCTCCATCGCCACACTCTGCCATGTGCCACTTTCAGGTCTCCTCACACTGCTGGTGGGTTTCATTTTGTCATAGGGTGCTGTATGGCCTCCCATTGCTGCTGCCAGGCCCATAATCTGCCACGGGCCCCCGTACCGACTCCTCATGCTGCTGCCAGGCCCGTAATATGTCATGGGCCCCTGTACCGCCTCCTCATGCTGCTGCCAGGTCCAGAGTGTGTCATGGGTCCCTGTACGGCCTCCCATTGCTGCTGTCTCCATCGCCACACTCTGCCATGTGCCACTTTCAGGTCTCCTCACACTGCTGGTGGGTTCCATTTTGTCATAGGGTGCTGTATGGCCTCCCATTGCTGCTGCCAGGCCCATAATCTGCCACGGGCCCCCGTACCGACTCCTCATGCTGCTGCCAGGCCCGTAATCTGTCATGGGCCCCTGTACCGCCTCCTCATGCTGCTGCCAGGTCCAGAGTGTGTCATGGGTCCCTGTACGGCCTCCCATTGCTGCTGTCTCCATCGCCACACTCTGCCATGTGCCACTTTCAGGTCTCCTCACACTGCTGGTGGGTTCCATTTTGTCATAGGGTGCTGTATGGCCTCCCATTGCTGCTGCCAGGCCCGTAATCTGCCATGGGCCCCCGTACTGACTCCTCATGCTGCTGCCAGGCCCGTAATCTGTCATGGGCCCCTGTACCGCCTCCTCCTCATGCTGCTGCCAGGTCCAGAGTGTGTCATGGGTCCTTGTACGGCCTCCCATTGCTGCTGTCTCCATCGCCACACTCTGCCATGTGCCACTTTCAGGTCTCCTCACACTGCTGGTGGGTTCCATTTTGTCATAGGGTGCTGTATGGCCTCCCATTGCTGCTGCCTCCACCGCCACACTGTGGCTCCACACTCTGGTTTTGGCCCCGTGACTGCCCAAATGAGTGAAGTGTGCGGTGATTCTAAGATCGACGGCACTCATCTGCATGTCATACTGACTGACAGTATTATTTCTCTTCCCCAGCAGACTCCAAGGGCATTTAAATTAAAGGTACAGTGTTCTGCACTAATATAAAGGCTCTCTGAAGCCTAGAAACACCCTTTTATAAGTTAAATTCGCAGCGAATATATTCGACTCGAATCGAATTTATTCCGCGAATTCGGCGAATCAGCCGAATCGAATTTTTGAATACTTCGCTCATCTGTAGTCTTCAGTGGACATCCAAATTAGATAATAGATATCAATGCCTGGTGAAAAATTCAGAATGTTGCAAGAGGTGACAATCACTTTAAAACTTCATTAAAGGCTAAGCTACCTTTAGTAAAAAAACAAATTGTATATTATTTTGCAGATAAAAATGTAAATGTATTCTTTTAATACATTTGTGCTTGCAAAGCATTGCACTTGTGATCAGTGGATTGCAATTGTAATGTCAAGCTCCTGCAAACACTGCTGACAGCTCTCTGCCCGTACCTCTGTATGGGCAGACAGATACCGAGTTGCAAGAAGTGTCAGTAAACTACAAGGGCGCTGATCATTGCCCCGATAGTTCATTGAGAACTGTAAGCCATCTGCTGTGGTAAAAGACAGGACTTGTAGTTCATTCATTCCTGTGAATTAATGATTCTGGCTGTGTGGGCAAGAAGAACCCCTGCTCTATGTCATGGGTTAAGGGGGTTTGAAGGGTAAGAAGCTGAACATGTTACACCCTAAATATGGGTGTAACATTCAGAAAGTGAACTTATCTTTTAAGTGATAATGGTGTTACATGTTTATATATACTTATCACATTCTCTTGTAAGTATTGATATGGGATAACCTGTACTTGTGTGCATTGAGTCACATAGTAAAATATACTACTTAAAGTGGTTGTAAAACTTTACATTTACCCAGTGAAAGGATTATCCTCAGGTGATAAACATAGATGAAGCAAATACTTAAGTTGTAGTCCTCTTCTCTTCATCTATTCAAACTGCATGTCTGAGAGTTCAGAAAAAAGGAGGCGGAGAGCTGAAGTTACACTCTGTAGAGCTCACTGAGGGTGGTCTGAGAGCTAATTGGAGGGAAGAGACACACCCCACCCTTCACATAGCGCACAGGAATAGAGCTGAGGCTGTCAATCTGCTGGAGGTCCCTCCCCTGTCACCATTTTTCTTTTGGGTGTTAGGAAAAAATATCAGAAGTGACTCCTGCTGATTGCAAAGAAAGGAGGCAGCAGACAGAATGACACTTAGTACTTTTAATTGAGGATATGCTTTGTTCATATTTTATGTCTGAGGTTTACAACCACTTTAAGAAAGATGAGCACTTATGGACCAGTCTAATTTGTATTCTAACAACTGCGTGTATTATACACTCTAGTATAGACATAAGTTTCTTTCTTTTTCTTTCAGAAAAAGAGCAGAGAAGAGACATGCGGAGAGGGCAGTGGAGTGGAAATCTTGGAGAACAGACCATACACAGATGGCCCTGGTGGCACTGGTCAGTACACACACAAGGTTTACCACATTGGAATGCATATCCCCAGCTGGTTCCGATCCATCCTACCTAAAGCTGCACTACGAGTGGAAGAAGAATCATGGAATGCTTATCCTTACACAAGAACCAGGTATCGGTGTGCTCCACTGTTTTGTTAGGAATTGACACAAAATATTCACAGAAGTTTGATTTTTCCAGGCTGTTACAGAGTGTGAGATTATACGAGTGTTTTTTTTTTTCTTCTTTAAACACATTACCAGCAATTCATCATTACAAAGTTGTGAGGGATTGAATATTACAAAGTGAAAAACTTTTTGGAGCATTTTTGTTATTGCCAGTGGAAGCCAATATTCTATGACCCCCAAAAAGTGTGTGCTGGCTTTTGAAATCTCAGAGTACTTTTTCGCCAAGCCAGGTTGTATCTAGGTATACATATAAAATGCTTTTTGTTCAGGCTGTACACTATAGTGACTGTGTGTTAGACCAAAGAACGTAAAATATGTCTATATACTTTCTCTGTGGTCAATGGAAACAAAATCCCTGGCTCTAACAAAGCGCATGATGTCTCCAGCATTGGAATGACTGCCTGTTAAATTGTATGCTGTCTTCTCCACCTCTTTTGGGGATTTTAATGTAGATTGTAAAATGTACATATTGTTTTCCATTCAGGTACACCTGTCCATTTGTGGAAAAGTTCTCCATAGATATTGAAACCTTCTACAAATCTGACTCTGGAGAGCTCGCCAATGTCTTCAACCTTTCTCTTGCTGAGAAGCGACAGACCGTATTGGGTAAGTTTCCCCATGAATCCATTCTACCACTCTCGTGCTGCTTCTATTTTGAATTATGCAGCTTGCACAACGTCCATTACTCTGTGAGACATCTATTCATCCATTGGCAATCATAGAGATTGATAGATATACAGTATGTGGAGGATAGATGATACATGTGATGGTGAAAAACCCCACTAACAGTCACTTCTTCAGTGAAAGTTTCAGGTATTTTACAGGTGGTACTTTATGTATGTGTATTAGAATATTGGGGACAGTTATTATAATGCAGTGTGCTCAGCATTCACCACAAAAAACACTACAAATATTTTCTTACTGTAGGCAAAAGTAGAAATTCTAAATTTTGCTATTGTTTACAAATCATAACACCCATTAGAATAGAATACACATGGTGTGGAAACAATTTGCGTTGTGCTGAAATTGCCTTGTTTCCAGTCTTCACATGTGTTAAGAACATCCCCAAATATAATTTTTATTGCTTGTTCTGATCTTCATAATGCCTTTTGTTTGTCATGCGTACTTGTGTTATGCAATCAACCATTGCATGCATCATTCACATAGGACTTGCACATTTATATAAGAGCTCTTCCACTCCCTTGCAAACTGTACCAGGCATAAACCCTCTTATAGATGTGTTTATACATAGCTTATGAATTGTCACACTGTATCTTTGGAATAAAGCAAAGAAAAGTGGCTGATCTTGAATTGAGGTGGTTCTTTCACATAATTCCAATGTGCCTAATTAAATAAAGTTAATAGTAATAATGTTTTTTAGAACTCCAACCATGTCTTTTCAGAAATAAACCATAACTATATCATCCATATAAAGTATATATTAGAAATGATGCTTGATACAGATCGGTTAATAAAATAATTTGTTGTTTCTTTACAGTGATATAGATGGTGTTCTGTTAGGACTGTTAAGAATGTTAAAACTTTCCTTAGAGTTCTTTTAGTTGATGTGACATCCGTGGCCCTTAACTTGGACCCTGTGTTATGGTTTTTAATGGTGTAGGTCCATATCAAAGTTTTGTACAATAAAAAAAAATGTTGCATGTTTTATTAGACCTTAAGCCCTAGTTCACACCAAATGCAATTTCAAAGTGGTGTGATTTGGTTCCATTTAAAGCAGCGCTGATATAGACACAGGTGTGATTTCTTTACCATTTACCTTATAGTCTACTATAGGGTCTAAGTGGTGAAAAAGTAATGCAGGAGCTATTTTTCAAATTGCGCTACTTGAAATCGCACCTATTAAGACAGTGCCATAGAAATACATTAGATGCGACTTCAGGTGCGATCTAAAGTTGGAGCGATGTGAACCGGGGCTAAACTGAAAGAGAATATCCATTCATTACTCTTCTTTCCAAACATCTGGTTTAAAGGCTTTTATTGCCATTTGTGTCTCTATTATAGTGACAAGCAAAGGTGTGCCAGTTTCAGCATGGGCATTAACGGGATTATTATAAACAAGGATAAAGTGTCTTAGCAGGTAGTATATGCAGCAAAGGAGTGCAGAGGGTATGATGGCAGACAGTATATGCAGTGGAGGATTTCAGAGAGTGTGGCAATGGGCAGTATGCACAGGGGAGAGCTGCAGGGGCTATGAAATTGAGCAATATGTGCAGAGGAGGAGTATGGAGGCACTTAGCTTTAATATTATATAGGATAGATAGCTTGGTTACCCCTCACTGCCTGTCAGGACAGAAAATAACAAAAAAGCTCTCCAGCAGGGACTCTGACATTATTAGTAGCGTGAAGAAGGGATAGAGCATTTGACATAGTTTGTATTGTCATCCATTCCTTTCTATCTCCATGACCCCCCCCACCGTCATTTCTTGTATGGAATCATAGGCAAAGGATGTCAATGAAAATCCCCCCAGTGGGGCCACAGACAGAAATAATCACCTCTGAGCAAATGTTCTCCACTCTTCTTTTGACGGCACAGTCTTTCCTTTCCAGTCTCCACCCAAGCGCAGGACACGTATGGCTGTTTTGCATTTCCCCTGATTTTCACTGTTTTGCATTTCCCCTGATTTTCACTGTTTTGCATTTCCCCTGATAAGGCTGGCACTGACCTTGTCTGCTTAGTGTATAAACATGCACATATGACATATGGGTCAGTGGGAATTGTAGTTCCCTGCCCACCCACATTACATTCCACAGTGTGATCCATCTTGTGTTCCTGTATGCTGACAGTTTTGACTGCAAGGCTCCTGCTAGGAAGTATGGTGATTTGTAGCTATGATTAGAAGTTGAGCAACCCAAAGTTTACATGCCAGCACGGAACTGCTTCTGTGCCTAACATGGTCAGAATGCTGAAGAGAAAACAAGGTGATGGGCAGGATCACCAGGTATTTGCTCATAATGGACAAACTGGCACAAAAAGTATTTTCACAGTATTTACTATGGGCAGATTAATGCATTTAGGGAATTTCATAATACGGGTTTGCAAGCTCTTTAGAACACATTAGCTGAAGTTAGACTTTGTTACCTTGAGAGTCTAGATAATAATTTCACATTGTGGCTGATAAATTACCATAAGAAGACACTGCTGGACATCGCTTTTTAGATTTTTTGTAGCCAATCACTGTTTTGCATTTCCCCTGATAAGGCTGGCACTGACCTTGTCTGCTTAGTGTATAAACATGCACATTGAAAACAAATGTGGTCCGCCCATAGCAAAGTATGTTTAGGCTCAGAGTAGACACCCTTGGTGCCAGCTTTATTGTGAGAGAGAAAAGGGATAAAATGACCCCGCTTTAAAAGAAATTGCCCTGCTAACGTGGCAGTCTGCTGTTGGAAGGTTACAAAACATAGTGTTTTTTTTAAGAACAGAAAAATTCTTTGATCTTGATACACATAGTCGCCAACTGAAGGTTTGCTATGTTGTAGGGAACATCTTGAAAAGAATAAATGCCCTTTAAAAAAAAAAACTGCAGCTGTAAAATATATTTTGTGAATCAAACCTCAAAATTATATATTGAACAATCGAGAGGAAATTCATGTGATATAAGAACCACTGATTTAGAATAGGCTGTCCTGCAACATCCAGACTCATTTGAAACCATGCTGTGGTTCTGCTTTCCTCACCTACCCCTAGGGTGGGCTTGGGATGCAGTGAATACAGGTGGTGGTTGAGATGAGCTGCACATTCACCACAGTACGGTACCACATCACAGACCCTCTTCTAATACCCAAAGTGCACAAAAGTATGGGCAGGGACACACAGAACCGCAACATAACTTATATGCAGTCTGCAGTGATCCTGCTGCAGTAAGTATTACACTTCTTCAATATTAAAGCGGAACTTTACTTAAAAAGAAATGGGAATGTGCAAGCTTTTTGATTCAGAAAAGACCTATGTCTCCTGCAATAAAATGCTCTTACCTGCCTGTTTGCAAACTATGTAGAATGTACACTGAGCTGCGCATGCATAGCTCAGTGTGTATTCTTGGAATACTTTGGTTTCTAGGATGAATTAATTCCCATTTGCATGCATAGGAATTATGTCATCCTGCTCAGGCCAGCCAAGAAGGCTGAAGATGCCAGACTTGGAGGAAGACAGGTGAAGATCTCGGCGCTGGCAAGGGAGCCTGCATATGTTGCATTCCTGAAGGGTAGGATAGGGGGACTTTAGTTCCACTTTTATTTTGACAGTTTCAGCAAATAGAAATGCTCAATGCTAAGCTTTGCCGCATTCCCAACCACAGCCCATGCTTACCTCTGTTGAACAGTAGGTAATAAAAATTATCTTCAGTGCTGGGAACCTGCACACAGAGCCACCACTTACATGGGCTGTGGCCATATTCCAAAACTGAAGGGCATTTAATCTCTGATGATGTAAACACACCACCTTGCCTTGGTATACAGCCCCATTCAAGTAAGTTGTCAGTGCCTAAGAGAATTTAGTCTCAGAGCTTGTAAGTAAGGGGCTGAGGTCCAGTTTAAGTAGGGAAGGATGAAAGTGGGTCAGTAGGTAGTTTAGGTAAACCCATACTTGTCCTTTTAAGAAAAAACACCTCAGCGCTTCTATTAAGAAAACTCACATTAGCAGAATAAATACTTAGAGCAGGGGTAGGCAACCTCTGGCACTAGTGCCGGAGGTGGCACGCAACAGCATCAAGGACGGCACCCAAGGGGAGTCCTGGGAGACCCACCTCCCAAACAATAAAGCTGGACAGTGGCTGCATACAGAAGAAGCAGCAGGGCTGGTGCCTACCCCCTCTATTCCTGCTGGTGTCGGTTCCTGCGTTGCACTCTCCACACAGAAGCTGTGTCGAGTGGTATTCCCCCAGGCTGCTTGTTCTCACTTTGAAAGGGTAATTATATTCAATATTTTTCCTCCTCTGCGGTACAGTATTCTTTTAGCCTGAGCTGGCTCATGGCCAGGCTTTTACTATTGGTGTACCTGCCCTCCCTCCAAACATTTCTCTCCCGCAGCATCCATGCGACTGGCTCAGCTTGGAGGGAATAAAACCGAGAGATTCATCTTCAAATTACATTAATTATGTGATCAGAGGTGTGAAGGTGCAGGAATTGGGGCTGATCTGAGGCTTGGAAGTGCAGGATTGGGGCTGATGTGAGGTCTGGAGGTGCAGGCATTGGGGCTGATCTGAGGTGTGAAGGTGCAGGTATTTGCTTGATCTGAGGTGTGAAAATGCTGGAATTGGGGTCTGAAGGAACAGGAATTGGGGCTGATCTGGATTGTAAAAATGCAAGAATCGGGGGTAACCTAACATGTGAAGGTGCAGGTATTGGGACTGACCTAAGGTGTGAAGGTGCAGGTATTGGGACTGACCTGAGGTGTGAAGGTGCAGGTATTGGGACTGACCTGAGGTGTGAAGGTGCAGGTATTGGGACTGACCTGAGGTGTGAAGGTGCAGGTATTGGGACTGACCTGAGGTGTGAGGTGTGGAAGGTGCAGGTATTGGGACTGACCTGAGGTGTGAAGGTGCTGGAATTGGGGATGACCTGAGGGCTGGAGGTGCAGGAATTGG